CATGCGACTGACATCCATCACATTATACAGTCAGAAGGACTCTCTGCTCTTCATCCGTCACACATCATCTTCACCTCCTCCTCCTCCTCCTCCTCCTCCTCCATCAGTTCACCATTACAGCACCTTCATTACAAAACTGTTCATTAATATTCACTAATATTAGAACTGGATTGAATTTGTGATGAAGGATTTAGTTAACCCTTTCATTAATGAATTACAACAACCTCGCTCAGTGGTTTTATTGCTCCTATAATGTTTTAAAGAGTTCGGTCTAGACCTGCTCTATTTGAAAAGTGTCCTGAGATAACTTCTGTTATGAATTGGCGCTATACAAATAAAATTGAATTGAATTGAATTGAAAATTGAATTGCTCTTCAGGCATGAAAATAAAACTGAACTTCTTCAAAACGTATTCTGATTCAGACAGACGTATGAAAATGTCAGCATATGTTGTACTACCACTAATCCTGAATTACAACCATTACCTACCACTTATCACAAATTACAACCATTAACTACCACTAATCCCGAATTACAACCACTGACTACCACTAATCCCGAATTACAACCACTGACTACCACTAATCCCGAATTACAACCACTGACTACCACTAATCCCGAATTACAACCATTAACTTTCACTAATCACGAATTACAACCATTAACTTTCACTAATCATGAATTACAACCATTAACTACCACTAACATGAACTATCTTTAAATTCCAGATCAGTTCTCCTGTTCTGATCATCAAACTTGGGACATTAATCAATATTAATTCATTCAATCACCATTAACTACTATTAATTATGTTATAACTATTAACTATCTATAACACTACAATTAGTTACCATTGAGTGCCATTAATTCCAATTGACTATCCAAAAAGTTAATTAACAATAGCTTCTCTCTATTGTCTCTTCCATCTCATCCATTCTGCTCTTCACTTCCTGTAAACAACGTATACAGACTTTACTTTATAGCCGTAGATGAAACTTAATGGTAATTAAAAGCAGTTGATGAAGTTTTACAGAATACCAGCTGTGAACAGTGATATTTATTAAAGGTTAATGGTTAATGAATTGTGTTTTGTGATATTTAAATGAAATGAACTCAGTGGTAATCACCTGTAGTTAAATGGGTATAATGTTGGTCAAAAGTAGTTAATGTTAATAGTTGTTAGTTAAAGAGAATTGTTGTACTGGTTAATGGAAGTTAATGGTAGTTTGACATACTTACTGTTGGATAATGGAGGTTAATGGTTTCAGGAGCTGCAACCAGGAAACCAGAACCAGAAGAGGAGAAACAGTCAGATCACACGGTGAAGATCGCCGGATCCATCGCCGGCATCCTGCTCTTCATCATCATCTTCCTTGGAGTCATCCTGCTGATGAAGAAACGGTAAGAATATCAGACACACTGTTCATTTCTTTTTCTGCGCAGCATGAGCCAGACGTTTGACTGCTTTTATATTTGTATTGTTTTTATGTTTTCATTTATTGTTGCAATTTGACTTTTCATAATTAATAATATTAATAACTATTAATGATAACAATGAGTTAAATGTATCTTTATAAAACCACATCACAACAATAACCACATGGACAACTAATTAAACTGTGCTTCCACCTCTGACTAGTATTAATGAACAAATGTATATTATATTAACACATATGTATGTATGTACTGTAGATAAATAAAGTTACATCAAAGATTCAATGACGTCCACACACACACACACACACACACACACACAGTGACAGTGAGGATGATGAGGATGAATAATGGAGCAGATTGCTGCAGTAATCACCATTAAACTATATGTGGACCGACTTTATTCTCCAACATCAAACACCCCCCACCCCCCACCTCCCGCTGGGACACACACACACACACACACACACACACACACACACACACACACACACACACTTAAACAGAGAAAAGCCTCTGTGTTTGGAGAACGTCGACGATAAGAGAGAAATTTAGATGAAAGAACATTTTATTCTTTTTTTCCAGAGTCGCCTCGAGCTGAATGGCTTCAGGCTGCACACAGATGTGTGTGTGTGTGTGTGTGTGTGTGTGTGTGTGTGTGTGTGTGTGTGTGTGTGTGTGTGTGTGTGTGTCGGTACGGCGCAGTGAGTTTCGGTTGGACTCTGTTGGGCCGATCGAGCTCTGATCTCTCTAACAGATATTAGAGAGAGAGAGGCGGTTGTTTGGGCTCTAATGAGCTTTTTAATGTCGACCGGGTGCGTTTGATTTCCACTCTGCGAGCAGGCAGAGGTCAGGCTCATTAGAGCGGGAGTGAAAACAGGAAGCTAGATGTTTAAAGGGTGATCAGACACAGTAACCTTCCACTGCTCAGAACTAGTGTCGTTTGTAGGACAGCAAGTTACTACGCCCTGCTGACAGGTGGAGGGATACGGAGCTGGAAGTAGTTCTGAGGGTCCTGATAATTACTCTGTTTCTTTAACTAGATAATAATCATTTACCCATACTGCTCTTGTATCTTTATGGATGATATTGATCAGTATACAATGTATCTTTATGGATGATATTGATCCCGTATTGACAGTCAGACTGTGGACATATGACGGCCTTTAGCTCGTGTTTCTAGAGTTACGTGTTGTTACGAACACGTTAGGAATTGTTAAAATGTGATATTTCTTAAAGGGAGTTTGGTGCAGGGAGCTTTTAGTTGGATTCAAACTGCTGATATGGATCATTGTTAACGTTTAGTCTCCACTACAGAAACACTAGCTAACTGCTGAAGGCTGATCAGGTTGATTGATGCTTTAATAATGGGAGTATTGATCACTGATCAGGATCATTATCAGCAACCTTTGTGTGCCCGTTTATGTGTGTGTATGAACTGTGTGTATTGACTGTGTATTTGTGGTTTACCTGCTCAGGTCTGTTTGATTTGACTGTAAAAACATTGAGTCTCTCTCAGTCTCTCCTTGTCACCCCCCCACCCTCACACTTCGATTGACACCTTACACCAGCCAATCACCACTCTCCTCCTCCTCACACAATAATTTAACTCATCTGTTCTGTTTTTTCTCTCCGAGACATTAATCTGTTGTTTTCTCCTTTTTCTGTTTTTCTGTTTTTTCTTTCCCTCCATTTCATCCCTTCCTCTGCTCCGCCCCCACCACTCAGACGAAGAAATTATCACTCCTACACTTACTACCTGTAAGTAACCTGTTTGACCTCTGACCTCCACCCTCACATTATTCTCAACACCTGAAAGCCTGAAATCAGTGTGTCGTCCCTGTGTGCCTGCCTACCCCTAACCTCTGGCCCCTAACCTCTGGCCCCCCTTCTGACCCATAATCTCTGACGTTGACCTCTTAACATTGAAACGTTGAACTCTAACCCCTGACCCTCTTCCCATTGATCATTGATCAACTCCAATTGTTGTCTTCCTCCCCTCCAACTGAACATTAACCTTTAACCCTGACCTTTAGCTCCTGACCTTCAGCCCCTGATGCTGCATTCTACCTTTATCAAACTTTACTTAAACTAAAAACATTTTAATTGACCGAAATAGACATAAAAAAACGAACTGAAACAATATTCAGGTTTTTATAAAACAAAATAAATTAAAATGTAAAACTATCAATTAGTCGACACAACAAGCATATATCGATGTTGTTGGTCGTTGTCGTTATCGCAGGGGTGGATTCTTTTTGTAGTTATTATTGCTGAAAATCTTTATTTCACCTGTATTTATAAAGCTTTATTTATAAGTCAATTGAGAACCAGTTCTCATTTACAACTTTTTCAACTGGTTCCAGTCACTAGTTCTAGTCTCTGGTTCCAGTCTCTGGTTCTAGTCTCTGGTTCCAGTCCCTGGTTCTAGTCTCTGGTTCTAGTCTCTGGTTCTAGTCTCTGGTTCCAGCCTCTGGTTCTAGTCTCTGGTTCCAGCCTCTGGGAGCGGCAGATTGAGAAGACTGACAGCCAAAGGCGGTACAGACCTTCAGGGTGTCCAGAATAATGAATTTGCTAGAACATAATTTTTTTTCCTGTTGGAGATGAGATAGGGAGGTTTTATCAGTCATATGATGATTTGATCAGTTTATAAATAAACTGGTCCCAGTGGATCTGAGGTCTGCTATGGAGTGATGGCTAGTTGATTAGAGAGTACAGGTTATAGTGATATGCACTGAAAGGGAAACCTGTGACACAGCAGATGGTGGTACGGTAAATGACATCCAGTTTATTGAGAAGAGATCCGCAGGTGAACCTGTAGATTAAGTCACTGTAGTCTAGAATTGGGAGGACTGTCACTTTGATTGAGCTGTGCTTTGCAGAGTGGGTAAATGATGGTTTATTTTAATAGAGGAAACTGATTATTGCTCTGACTTTGGAGAGCAGGGTGTTGATGTGTGTTTGAAAGGAGAGAGAACTATCAGGACAGATACTCGGGTATTTGTAGGAGGTGACAAATTCAAGTTCTGAACCATCCAAGGAGGAGATATTGAGGGGGAGGTGACCACATGTTTAAAACCAAATGTGTGGTCTTAGTGTTTAGGTGAAGGTTGGAGAAGGTGTTCTGGAAACTGTTGAAGCTGAGCTGCAGGGAGGACAGGGCAGTGGTCAGGGAGGGGATGGATGAATACAAGATGGTGCCGTCAGCATAGAGGTGAATATGAGAACAGCAGCATGAACATTATGTATGTATATTGTGAAGAAGGTTGGACCTAGAATGGACTCCTGAGGGACACCCATGGTCAGGGATAGTGTGTCAGACATGACATCCGCTGCTGAACAATGCTAAAATATGTGTCTGTTACTTGATTACATGTATCAGTTTTACTTTACTACAAACTAAGTTAGCATAGCCCTGGTCAACCGAACTCCATTCAGAAAACAAGCATTTTAACAGCATTTTTGTTTGCAGATTTAGTCAATATGTAATATAAGTATTTTTTAACATATTGACCAATGAACTTCAGAGGGGACGTGGCAATCAAAAAACATCACAAAACTCACAGGATATGTCCATATAAGGACCTGATACACACCCTACTTATGCAAACACTGGGCCTGCTATAAACCAGACTGTAAATCAGAGATAGTTTGAACTAGTTTGACATTTCTCACCGTCTGTTGGCTGCAACCCCAGAACGGATTGTTTGTGGATATATTTATTGTTATGTATGAGAGATTATGTGGATTTCATTCTATTTAAAGAGAAATATTACAGTTTGCAGCACTGCAGTAGTGAGAGAAGTTTTGATCTATTTTCTTACAACTGAAAATATAGTTTTGTTATAACAAACAGTAACGGTACCTAGAAGGTCTGTGTATTGGCTGAATCTGACGATACGTATCAGGACACAGGGGTTATGGTCCAATACATCGTGATATATTGTGATAAAATATAAAGAGCACTTCTTAATGCAACAGAAACAGTGGATCTGCATCTATATTAAACACAGCCACAGTTTACAGCACTGATATCAGCCGCTGGGCTTTAAACACAAAAATCAATACAGTGGTTTTCTAGAATTGATAAAATATCACAAAATAAGATAAGTAATACTATTTTTTTAAATATTTTCTCACTACCTAGTTGGTACATTGGAGCCTTCAGGGCACAGCGGACTGCTGTAGATCCACAGTTGTTCACTTACAATAATTACGTACAAATTAAATAGTACGTAATAACAGTTCAGCGTCGCTCAACTTGAGTCCAACACTCCTCCGGTTCCTCGCCCTGATTGGCTCAGTGGACGCTGAAAGTAAAAATAAAATTTCTCTGAAGCTTTCGGATCAATAAATGTGTGAGAGTTTCCCCTGCAGGTTATCTCCAACCGACGCCTCCTCCAGGAGACAGGAAGTGCTCACACACTCCTCCTCAGGTCGCTGTGTGTGTGTGTGTGTGTGTGTGTGTGTGTGTGTGTGTGTGTGTGTGTGTGTGTGTGTGTGTGTGTGTATGTGTGTGTGTGTATGTGTGTGTGTGTGTATGTGTGTGTGTGTGTATGTGTGTGTGGCCAAAAGTATGTGGACGGCCCTTTTCACAGAGACTGTTGTGATTTACTGCTGTGAGTGTGTGTGTGAGTGTGAGTGTGTGTGTGTGAGTGTGAGTGTGTGTGTGTGTGTGTGTGTGTGTGTGTGTGTGTGTGTGAGTGTGTGTGAGTGTGCAGTGGAACAGGGTTAATAGAATTAGCCGGCTGTAATAAACCTGTCTGATCAAATGATCGTTACAAGGAGAGATACACCTACACACACACACACACACGCACACACACACACACACTCTGACATCCATTACCGCTAACAGCATTGTCCTGTCGCTCATTAGATTAGCATAGATTAGCCTTGACATGCATCTGTGTCTGTGTTAATGTTAAGTGTTACTAAATCAATCAACCCCTGACACCTCGCTGATGATGTCATGACCACACACACACACACACACACACACACACACACACACAAACACACACACACAGTCTCCATTGATATGAAAACAGATAAAAGCTGTTTTGCTACAGTATTTCCTTGGTAAAGTGAGGTTATCTCCTGCTCCTTCTCTCTCTCTAGTCATTCATCATGTGGGGGGGGTTAGAGGTCAAAGGTCAGGACAGCTGATTGGAGTCAGAGAGGTCGGCTCAGCTCTGCAGGAAAAAGGAAGAGGCACAAACGGAGAGAAAATACAGTTTGACAGGATGAAAAAGTCCAAAGAGAAAACTTCAAATCCGTTTGAGTTCAGAGTGAAAACACTCTCATATAGATAAAAATACTTTATTTATCCCCAAAGGGAAATTATTAATAATATAATTATATATAATCTGCCAACACCTGATCCAGGTCGGTGTGTCTTTATGGGAGGTCTTTGTGGTTGTTGTGGTCACTGTGTGTCTCGCTGTGTGTGTCTTTGTGATCGCTGTGTGTCTCTTTGTGGTTATTGTGTGTCTCTTTGTGGTTGTTGTGTGTCTCTTTGTGGTTGTTGTGTGTATCTTTGTGGTTGTTGCGGTCGCTGTGTGTGTCTTTGTGGTTGTTGTGGTTGCTGTGTGTCTCTTTGTGGTTGTTGTGGTCGCTGTGTGTCTCGCTGTGTGTGTCTTTGTGCTTGTTGTGTGTCTCTTTGTGGTTGCTGTGTGTGTCTTTGTGGTTTATGTGTGTCTCTTTGTGTGTCTCTTTGTGGTTGCTGTGTGTGTCTTTGTGGTTGTTGTAGTCACTGTGTTTCTCTCTGTGTGTCTTTGTGGTTGTTGTGTGTCTCTTTGTGGTTGTTGTGGTCGCTGTGTTTCTCTCTGTGTGTCTTTGTGGTTGTTGTGTGTCTCTTTTTGTGTCTCTGTGGTCACTGTGTGTGTCTTTGTGGTTGTTGTGGTCGCTGTATGTGTCTTTGTGGTTGTTGTGGTCGCTGTGTGTCTCTATGTGGTTGTTGTGGTCGCTGTATGTGTCTTTGTGGTTGTTGTGGTCGCTGTTTATCTCTTTGTGGTTGTTGTGGTCGCTGTGTGTCTCGCTATGTGTTTCTTTGTGGTCGCTGTGTGTCTCGCTGTGTGTGTCTTTGTTGTTGTTGTGTGTCTCTTTGTGTGTCTCTTTGTGCTTGCTGTATGTGTCTTTGTGGTTGTTGTAGTCGCTGTGTGTCTCTTTGTGGTTGGTGGTCGCTGTGTTTCTCTCTGTGTGTGTCTTTGTGTGTCTCTGTGTTTCTTTTTGTGGTTGCTGTGTGTGTCTTTGTGGTTGTTGTGGTCGCTGTATGTCTCTTTGTGGTGGTTGTGGTCGCTGTGTGTCTCGCTGTGTGTCTCTTTGTGGTTGCTGTGTGTGTCTTTGGGGTTGCTGTGGTCGCTGTGTGTGTCTTTGTGGTTGTTGTGGATGCTGTGTGTCTCGCTGTGTGTCTCTTTGTGGTTGCTGTGTGTGTCTTTGTGGTTGTTGTGTGTGTCTTTGTGGTTTTTGTGGTCGCTGTGTGTCTCTCCGGGTTGTTGTGGTCGCTGTGTGGTTGTTGTGGTCGCTGTGTGCCTCATTGTGATTGTTATGGTCACTGTTTGTTTCTTTGTGATTGTTGTATGTCTCTTTGTGTGTCTCTTTGTGGTCGCTGTGTGTCTCTTTGTGGTTGTTGTGGTGGCTGTGTGTCTCGCTGTGTGTGTCTTTGTGGTTGTTGTGGTAGCTGTGTGTTTCTTTGTGTTTTGAAACAGAAGGACACTATTGTGTGTTTACCTGTAGCAGACAGACAGACAGCTTTGTGCAGGCAGACAGGTTTGTACTCTGAGGGTTCAGGTCTGACTCAGAGAAGAAGAATCGCTGCAGGTTTTTACTGTCTGACTGAACCACAGAAGAAGAAATAGGTGACATGAGGAGGAGGAGGGCAGCGTCGCCTCGGGGCGCTTTCACCGTCCTCCATGTTAACCCCGACACACACACACACACACACACACACACACACACTCAGCTGCTTTCACTGATGTCTTACTTTTCACTTTAAAAGCCTGTTTTTTATATTTATTTATTTATTTCAATATTTTTTCCATTTCCATTTTCAGGTCAGGGTTAAACTTTCCTCTGTTTGAGTGTGTGTGTGTGCGTGTGTGTAATCGGACAAATGGATGTTTTTTTATTCACACACTCGGAATAGAAAGAGAGAAAATATATCGAGCTTTTAAAACGGACAGAGTGTCCCTGTGTGTGAGCGAGTGAGTGTGTGTGTGTGTGTGAGCAAGTGTGTGTGTGTGTGTATGTGTGTGAGCGAGTGTGTCTGTGTGTGTGTGTGTGTGTGTGTGTGTGTGTGTGTGTGTGTGTGTGTGTGTGAGTGAGTGTGTGTGTATGTGTGTGTGTGTGTGTGTTTGTGTGCTGGTTGATGGACGGACAAGAGGATGAAAGGATGTTTTTAAAGATGTTATTTTGTCCTCTTCAGGAGTTCAACAGATAGAAAAAGATAGACGAGGATGGAGAATGCAGAGCCATAGACAGATAGACAGATAGACAGACAGACAGATAGACAGATAGACAGATAGACAGACAGACAGATAGACAGATGGATAGATAGATAGATAGATAGATAGATAGATAGATAGATAGATAGATAGATAGATAGATAGATAGATAGATAGATGGACGGACGGACGGACGGACGGACGGACGGACGGACGGACGGATAGATAGATAGATAGATAGATAGATAGATAGATAGATAGACACACAGAGACAGACAGACAGACAGACAGACGGATAGATAGATAGATAGATAGATAGATAGATAGATAGATAGACAGACAGACAGACAGACAGACAGATATATATAAATACTTACTCATTCATTCACACACCGATGACGTGGCATGGAGCAGTTTGGGGTTCAGTATCTTGCTCAAGGACACTTTGACGTGCAGTCGGAAGAGTCTGGGATCAATTAGTGGACGACCCGCTCTCCCTCTGAGCCACAGCCGCCCTATAAACCATCTTAACACAGAGGAAACACCCAAAACTCCCACTAATACCACCTTTACTGAAAAATAAATCCTTAAAAACTAATTTCATACCACCTTAAATGTGTAAAAACACTCTGTTCCTTCTGTACGGGCGGGCTGCAGACGCTGAAATCAACCATGTGACTGTGTTTGTTTGTTTGTTTTGTCTTTACAGGAAGTTGGCAAAGAAGAGGAAGGAAACGCTGAGCTCCAGACAGGAAATGACTCTGATGGTCAACAACTCCCAACACACAACAATGGTGGACACGCACACGCACACGCACACGCTGAATGGACGCAGTGAGTACACGCTGACATCACTGCTAGCTAACGTTACCTTACTGCTAATGTGGACAAATTGCTAAAAAAGCTAACATAAGAAAATTGTTAGCCACACAGCGTAGCTTTGTACTCTAATATAATTTACTGTTGGCTAACATCAACACCGTTTGTCAGAATTCATGTTCATTCATCATGTTAGCTGGGGAAGCTAACGGTAGTCGCTCAGATAGTGTGCTGGCGAACGCCTCAACGTTTTGTGAGGAAACAATTCTATTCAACAGTTTGACAAAAACCGAGAGAGAGAAACAGAAGATTACTGAGGCTGTTATGAAGGGATGATGAGAGCGAAGGTTTATCATGAAGGTATGGACTGTCAGAGAGGCAGCCGGAGGGGGATGATGGAGGGATGATGGAGGTTTAGAGGACGGAGGAGACGACCTTCCCCCAGGCTTTCACCTCCTCTGAGCTCCTCCAGCAGACACAATGTCTCACTCTGCTTCTCTTTCTTTCAGCCTTCAACTCTTTATTTCTAATGCAACTGATGTCCGATGTTCCTTTTTCTCTTATCTTCACCATCATAACAGAGCAGCCAAGAACTATTCTCTGCATTAAATATGATCCAGGTTCACCCAAATCACTGATAAAGTTGTCTTTTTGTTGTTTTTGTACGAGCGATAAAGTTCTTTGTACAATTGTTGAAGTCGGTTAGTTCATGTTTACCAGGAGTCACATTTCATTTCACAGGAAGGAGAAGTGATGAATTTCAACCTAAAAATCCAAAGGAATTAAGCATAGCGACCTCAGGCAGAGGTCAGAGGTCACGAAGTCAGTCAGCTGATCACAGCTAGTCGTAAACACACAGCTCAGCTGATTCCTTCAAGCATCCAATTGGCAGATATCATTCATGGCGCCTTATTAAAATGCTTTAGCCTGCCTATCTTTGCTGCTTCCTCTATAAGCAGCTTTGCAACCCACCTCCACCCCAGCTCCTCCTTTATGTTGTATCTAATTAATCAGTGTCATTTTCTGATTGCATTGATGCCTGCTCTGTTCTGTACCCTGGGGGGTCTCTGCTGCCGCTCTCCTTGTCTAAAACATTTTACTGGGACTAAAATGTATTTTCTGTAAATGCGTTGTCCTACATTGTCTAGCAGAGGAACAATATGAGTGGACGTGATCTTAAAGGGTTCCACCGGGACTCTTAACACTGTGTGGTTTTGTCTCCGTGTTCCAGCTGTGTCGTCTCCGTCCTCTTTCACACTGAAGACAAACACCATCAGCACCACCGTCCCCAACTCCTACTATCCAGGTAACACACACACCTTTCACCGTTCAGTCAATGGATGAATCACAGACAGATGACTCTTCACACTATGAGGAATCCCAGAGTCATTAATAACAAGCTCCTCATGTTATCCAGGAAAGTACTTTACAAATGATCCTGATCAGTAATCAATACTCCCATTATTAAAGCATCAATCAACCTGATCAGCCTTCAGCAGTTAGCTAGTGTTTCTGTAGTGGAGACTAAACGTTAACAATGATCCATATCAGCAGTTTGAATCCAACTAAAAGCTCCCTGCACCAAACTCCCTTTAAGAAATATCACATTTTAACAATTCCTAACGTGTTCGTAACAACACGTAACTCTAGAAACACGAGCTAAAGGCCGTCATATGTCCACAGTCTGACTGTAACTCTAGAAACACGAGCTAAAGGCCGTCATATGTCCACAGTCTGACTGTAACTCTAGAAACACGAGCTAAAGGCCGTCATATGTCCACAGTCTGACTGTAACTCTAGAAACACGAGCTAAAGGCCGTCATATGTCCACAGTCTGACTGTAACTCTAGAAACACGAGCTAAAGGCGTCCTCTGAAGTCAGCTGCATGTACAGACGTAGGGAGCTAACTTTCCCTTCTTCTTCTCTTCTTTTTCCATCATCCTGCCTGTCTGTCTGCCTCTCTCCCTGTCTGTCTGCCTCTCTCCCTGTCTGTCTGTCTGTCCGTCTGCTGCCGATGTGTCCTGAGGGCAGATCCCTTCGTGCCGACGGCCATTCTGGGTGAGACACTATTTCCTTTCCTTCCTCTGTAGGACAGATTAACCTGCACAGGTAGACAGACAGGAAGCAGACAGACAGGTGAGCCAGAGAAGAGAGAGAGACAGGATAGAGGTGATAGAGAAAGAGAGAGTGATATTCTGGCTTCCATCCATCCCTGCTTGCTTCTCGTTCAGCTGCTTTTGGTTATTTTCTCCAAATCCTCCATCTTTAATTATTGAATTAATTTCAGTTAATTTTTCAGTTTATTTTACAGTTTTTATCCCTTTGAGAGTTTTTGCTTCAAGTTTTCTTTTTTTTGGTGGGTGGGGGGGGGGGGTACTTTGATTTATTTTACATTTTTAGAATTTATTTGAAATGATTTGATCATTTCTTTATTAGAGTATTTATTTTCTTAATTTTCTTTTATTGTTTTGTGTTTAAACGTTAGATTTATTTTTGTTGTTTTTATTTTATTTTATTTGTGTTATTATTTCCATGTTTTTTCTTTGGTTTGTTTTGATTTTGGTTTGCTTTTTAAACGACGGTGGGCTTCACTCCATCCCCGCATCCACAACATTCCTGCGTGTCGTGTTGACGTCACGTCTGTCTGTGACCTCCAACCTCTGCATGGACACAACACGGACACGTGGACGGGGGGGAGGAAATGAAAGCAGGAGTCAGACTCAGGTCCTTTCACTCTTTGGACGTCTCATTGGGATTGTTGGATGTCGCAAATGTTTCAGGAGCAGAAGGATAAAATAAGTCCACCTTAAATACACAATGAAGGAAGCTGTGCTAAGCTCAGTTGTTAATAAACGTTATTTTCACTGTGAACAGTATCAAGCTCAATTAAAGAATATTGGCTTGTGTGTCGTCATCTGTCTGAAATAATATAAAATTGTATTTTTAAAAGCTAACACAAACTTTCTGAGGAAACATTAAACCATTAGAGTTTATTATCTCAGTAAATTAAAGCATGTAAATATTTGATTTGAGTACAATTACCTCAAGTATTTATTGTTGAGTTAACTTGGGTAAATTAAGTCAATTGTACTAATTCCATTCAGTTCATTGAACTTAAAACTAGTAAGTACATTAGAGTCATGCAGCATTTCTCCAAACTTATTTCAAATGAATTCATCAGAATAAGAAGTCAGACAAACTTAAATAAATCTTTCCTGTCAAAACAGCTGGTAAAAACAATTTACAATTAATTGATTATCAAAAGCCAATTAAGTTACTGATGATCATTAAATTGAATTGTTGCTACTACTGCTAGCCTGCTACTAACATCAGATCTTTACACTCATTAAGAATTATTTGGATGCAAACTTGTTCAAATGATGATTTATAAACTCAAATGAAAACAAAGATTTAACACATTAGTTTAGACCTATAAACACATCCCATCCCTCTTATCTATGCTAAAACTACCATTTCAGGCTAAACTCAGATGCTAACAGCTGTGCTAAATGCTAGGCTAGTTTAATTTCCAAGTGAAGGATAGGGAAAACAAACATGAATTCCTGTTTCTCAGCTCTCCTTAGGCTAGCTAAACACTCAGACGTTATGACGTAAGCTGAGGCTACTTACAGGCCTACACTTACGCTACAGTCACGTTAGCCAGGTTAGCCTAGGCATTTGCTGCTAGCTGTCACAAGTTCAAATAGAGCTACTATGATTCATGTTAGATGTGCACTAATTTAAGTCCAGGCTAAAGCTAACTAGTACTAGGCAATTTGTGGTTCTCAAACACCTCAAAGTTAAATATTGAAAGTTAGCGCCAACTTGAGGCGCAAGACAGAACATATTGACTTTATTAATGTTTAAATGCACAAACCTTCCTGAAGCTGAGCCTAAGTGACAGCAGTTATGTCAAACAGATAACAGACTAATCAGAGTGATGTGCTGCAGTGAGACGAACTGAGCAGTTAGCTGACGTAGCTGTTTGTTCTGTTGTGAAAGACAATATTGACACTACAATAAATCCAGCAGTGTCGATCTTTGTTTTCTTGTTTTTGAGTAGCTGTGACCAGCAAACACATCACACCCCTCTTATCTATGCTAAAACTACCAGTTCAGGCTAAACTTGGATGCTAACGGCTTTGCTAAATGCTAGGCTAGTTTAATTTCCAAGTGAAGGAGGGGGAACACAAACTGTCACATAAATTCCTGTTTCTCTTCTCTCCTTAGTTAAATGCTCTTCAGGCCAGAGGTTGTGACGTTAGGCCAGGCCACGAGTCCTACACTTACACTACAGTTAGCCAGGTTAGCCAGGTTAGCCAGGTTAGCCTAGGTACTTGCTGATAGCTGTTCTTAAGTTCAAATAGAGCTACTACAGTGCTAGGAGCTAGTTTGATTCATGCTAGCTGTGTGTTAGCCGTACATCCGCTTAAGTTTAGGCTAAAGCTAAAGTTGTTGCTTATACCCTGTCTCCTCTCTCTTCTTCTTCTCTTCTATCTTTCTCTGTGTAAAGTGCCCATTAATGGTAAGTGGTTAAATTTGGGGCTAACGGGGGGGACTCATGATGGGGGGGTGTCTGTCACCACAGCGCATGGAGCCACACCCACCGCTCACTGTGATGTCATCATTTTGCCTCATTTTAACCCCTATGTGAAATTGTGACATCACAATCCCCAACCCCTCCCACTATTTCACCTCCAAACCAATCAGGTTTCAGCTCCGCCCATCTCTCCACCTCTGATTGGTTGATTGTTTTTTGTTGTCGTGTTTGTTGTGTCCTCCGTCGAATCTCAAACCACCACCTCCATCACATCATCGGCCATCTCTTCACCCTCGCCACGATTGGTTGGGCTGTTTGGGATAGAGAGATTCTGATTGGTCAGTCAGCCTCCAGGCTAGCCAATAAGAACAGAGTTAGAGAGAGTAGTGGAAGGAAATGCCGCCGAGTCTGTGTTCAAATGTCAGAGTCCAAAACCACGTTACCAAACAGGTCTGTTCTGATCCAGGACTCTGAACTCTGTGCTCTTTTTACACTGCAGCTCCAAGAACCTGGACCCCATCTGGACCAGTACTCATTCCATACTGTACTGGATCTGGACCAGTACTGATACATACTGTACTGGATCTGGACCAGTACTCATTCCATACTGTACTGGATCTGGACCAGTACTGATACATATTGTACTGGATCTGAACCAGTACTGATACATACTGTACTAGATCTGGACCAGTACTGATACATATTGTACTAGATCTGGACCAGTACTGATACATACTGTACTAGATCTGGACCAGTACTCATTCCATACTGTACTAGATCTGAACCAGTACTGATACATACTGTACTAGATCTGGACCAGTACTGATACATATTGTACTAGATCTGGACCAGTACTGATACATACTGTACTAGATCTGGACCAGTACTCATTCCATACTGTACTAGATCTGAACCAGTACTGATACATACTGTACTAGATCTGGACCAGTACTGATACATTCTGTACTGGATCTGGACCAGTACTGATACATACTGTACTGGATCTGGACCAGTACTCATTCCATACTGTACTGGATCTGAACCAGTACTGATACATACTGTACTAGATCTGGACCAGTACTGATACATTCTGTACTAGATCTGAACCAGTACTGATACATTCTGTACTAGATCTGGACCAGTACTGATACATTCTGTTTGGATTGAAACTCCATCTTGTTTGATCAGATTATTGATCAGTGATCAATCATTATGGCAGCAGTGTGAAAAGAAGGTCCAATCACCATCCTCTCTCAGGTCATGTGATCTGATGTCACGTGATGTGTGTGCCATTCATCTGTGTTGTTGTGGTAACAAAGTGGTAGCCGTGGACATTTATTTACATTATCAGATTATTCATCCTTTTTGTTGATGATAAAACTGATTAAACAACAATCTAAAGCTGAGCAGACGCTGTACAATCTGATTCAATTTGTCCTTTGACTTCCTGTCTACACAGGAAGTAGGACTGCTTGAGAATACCTGCACCATTCCACAGTCCAGTTTACACCTGGTCAGTTCGTAAAGTCCACATGAAACAGGAAGCAGAGAGCAGTTTGCTTACTCATATTTCCTGTAAAAACAGGAAGTTAGGGAATAAAGTGCTGAGAAACCCCGGGGCCAAATCAGCTAAGGTTAGCTGCACGAGCTAACAGCATTTAACTTTACTGTTAGCAGCAGTTAGCTTATTTTAGAAACAACTCCATAAATCAGCAGCAGTTAGTGGAGTTGAGGAAGAGCAGCCAGGTATGTCTCATGGAAAACCAGAAAATAATTTCAACATAAAAATATGATCCTGATGATTTTAATACAGATTAAAGTTGAGTTCTTGTACAGTTTTAAAGTTATCTTTTTGTAAAGTTGAGTTTTCATACAGGTTGTAAAGTTAACCCTTTAAGCGCCAAAGTCGCAAAATTGCGACACGACGCAGTACTGAACAGCAGTTTTCTCCGAATAGTGTTATATCTCATTCATACTCCCCTCCACTAGTTGGCAGACATCCCGTACTTAGACCTTAGCTCAGAAATACGTCATGCTTCAATGCAAAATGTTTGAGGAAGTACCATCCAAACTGTTGGGTGAGAAACCGGAAATAGTCTGCCACGGCGCTATTTATGCTGAAGCAGTATTGCTGGATTTAGGAGTTATTGAGACGAAATAAACGAAAACGGCAAGCAAAAAGTTGACGCTTAGGGAAGTGATGGGTCTCCTATTCGCTGATCCTGATTCTGAAGGGGAAAATCTACCTTTGGGAGATGACGGCCGGTCGATTAGTGAGCGCACTAGTCACGGTGTGTCTTTGCAATGGCGCTGCCGGGCAAAGCGAGGAAAACACACAAGCACAAACACACGACCCTTTGCCCAACATAGGTGGGAGTGGAAATGATACACAAACTCGTAGTATCAGTAGGGGAGCTAATGGATGTGGTGGAAGTAGTGGGGGTGGTGAGAATAGCGCTGGGTTCACTCTTTCTACCGCGTCGGGCACGGTGCGTCCATGCACGGCAGTGGTGCAGCCATGCGACGCAGCAGTTTTCACGAAGCACAAAACACACACGAGTCCAACTGTTCTCCCAACACTAGTGGGGATAGCACTCCCTCTGTACTGTGCCTTGCAATGAGAGGTTCCACACTCTACAAATACTACAAACTTTTATCTGGATAGATGGGCACAGATTAGGCCTCTGCAACTAAAAAACGCCTACTGTTATTATTATTATCATATTATAATGATAAAATGATTTTAAAAAATCATAAAAAACGCCTACTGTTTACATGAGTTTTGTGGTGTAGTAATAGTTCTAGTTTACGACTGTTGGCTTATAATTTACTTTTTCCGAGTTCATTTGATATGTGGACAACATAACAAATGGATGGAGGGGGGTGAATCTGATGAAATAAGTTCAACTCTCTTTCAAAATATCAGGTATTTCATGGAAATTACATAATCCAATATGGCCCCCGCCATATGACGTCATAATATGCAAATTAGATGGGGAAATTTACTCCCTAGATAAACTTTAGGTCATTCTCAATATTTGTCCCATTTACACTTTGTCTCTATCTCAAACCACTTTCAAGCCAGAGCCTTCTGAAATATAGATGTCAAAATCTCTATTTTTCAAAATAAAACCCGGCGCCTAAAGGGTTAACTGTTTGTAATGTTGTGTTTTTGTACAGGTTAAAAAGTTGTGTTTTCGTAGTTTGTAAAGTTATCTTTTAGTAAAGTTGTGTTTTCATACAGGTTGTAAAGTTGTGTTTTCGTACAGGTTGTAAAGTTGAGTTTTCGTACAGGTTGTAAAGTTGAGTTTTCGTACAGGTTGTAAAGTTGAGTTTTCATAGTTTGTTAAGTTATCTTTTAGTAAAGTTGTGTTTTCATACGGTTGTAAAGTTGAGTTTTCCTACAGGTTGTAAAGTTGAGTTTTCGTACAGTTTCTAAAGTTATCTTTATGTAAAGTTGTGTTTTCGTACAGTTTCTAAAGTTATCTTTATGTAAAGTTGTGTTTTCGTACAGTTTCTAAAGTTATCTTTATGTAAAGTTGTGTTTTCGTACAGGTTAAAAAGTTCTGTTTTCGTACAGGTTGTAAAATGACTTTTCGTACAGGTTGTAAAGTTAATAGGACAGCTGAAGATAGACAGGAAAAGGGGTTGAGAGAGGGGATGACATGCAGCAGGGCCACAGGTTGGAATCCAACCCTGGGCCACTGCAGCAGGGAATCAGGTACAGATAGATGGGGCACCAGCTCTACCAGGTGAGCTAACCAGGCGGCCCAACAAGTTATGAAGATTGATGTCATTATTATTTGTAATTGGTTAGTAAAGGTTCGTGTTCAATCATCATTTCATCTAGACTTTGTCATCTGCCTGTTGGGAATCAGTCAGATCCTCCATTGGTCTCTCTCACAAGTCACAATCAATGTGAAACCGGGTTTTATTTGTACAGTGTCTGCCCAGATTTATACTACAGAACTTAATGTGGCCTCACGAGCCCACACCTGATCCTGAGTCACTCACAACCAGTAATTTTTCTGGATTCTGACCCGGGTCAGTTTGGTCTGGTCTGTGCCATCCACCATCAACATACATCATATCACTGGTCATGTCTGTGGACCTTCATCTGACCTGTTCATTGTCATATTCCGTTCTCTGCTCTTCCTCCTCCAGATGACAGCCACACTATGACCAGTGAAACCAGTAGCCTGGTCCAGTCCCACTATAAGCAGCGGGAGTCAGAGCGGGAGGCATTGCCCTACCAGACGGGTCAGCTGCACCCGGCCATTCGAGTGGCCGACCTCCTGCAGCACATCACCCAGATGAAGTGTGCCGAGGGGTACGGCTTCAAAGAGGAGTACGAGGTGAGGAGGACACCATCACACACACACATTTATATACATAAATACACATTTATATCACACACACGCATTTAGAAAGGTAAAGATCCGAAAGTTTAAAATGTTGGAAGAATTTCATGTAATCACCACAAACACATTGTTTGTATATAATATCTAGTTAGAATCATTTTTATGTAAAATGTATAATTTCCATAGAAATGTTTTTCCGTTGTAGTCATTGGTGGTTTCACACAGTGTTATTGTTTGTTACTAGGTCATTTCTAGTGTGTAGAAGTTGACCACAGGGATGTTGTCATTGTTTTATTTCATTTATACTTTATCTGAACCAAATAGATAGGCAGTTGCTATGGTGTTACTAGGTAGTTGTAAGGCAGCCCCCACTAAAGATGATCCTAGTCGACTCGTCATTACATGTTTCTGATATCACTATTGATTATAACCTGTTAAACAGCAGTAATGATTGTGAATCAGAACAACCAGCAAGGAGACTGAACCTTTAGTTCGACAGAATGTCGTAAATAGCACCAATTTTAATCATGAATGTCTTTAGATTGCACTGATTAAATTTGATGGTGATCCGATAAATTCCCTAGGAGGAATTTGGTCAAATACAACGTGTGCAAATTGCCAAAAATGGTCGCTAAATCCAAAATGGCCGACTTCCTGTTGGGTTTGGGATATGTTGCCCACCGGATTTTTTGTTTGTCTGAATAAGATCTATGCGTGTGCCGATTTGTATGCATATCGGTGAATGGGGCCCTGGATGGTACAGTTTATGGACCCCTGAGGGTCCATTACGCCATGCTCATAATGGACACCTAGATAATACTCCAATTTTCGCCACGACTGACATGTGCGTCGTGTTTCATGAGTTTTTGAGCATGTTGCGGCCTCCAGTCGAAGGCGCTAAAAATAATAATAGCTAAGAAGAAACATAGCAGATACAATAGGGACCTCCAGCTGTCGCTGGCTCGGTCCCTAAATAAGTCTGTATCTGACGACATCTGTAAGTGGTTGTTAGGGGGTATCTATAGGTGGTTGTTAGGGAGTATCTAGGGGGTATCTATAGATGGTTGTTAGGGGGTATTTTTAAATGGTTGTTAGGGGGTATCTATAGGTGGTTGTTAGGGGGTATCTAAAGATGGTTGTTAGGGGGTATTTCTAAATGGTTGTTAGGGGGTATCTATAGGTGGTTGTTAGGGGGTATCTAAAGATGGTTGTTAGGGGGTATTTCTAGATGGTTGTTAGGGGTTATCTCTAGATGGTTGTTAGGCGGTATCTATAGGTGGTTGTTAGGGGGTATCTATAGGCTAGATGGTTGTTAGGGGGTATCTATAGATGGTTGCCACTCAGTGTCACAGAGGTTGTGGGGCTGACAGTGATTCGTCTGAAACAGTGTTGAACAGGATCCATTTCATTATTGATTAATCAGCTTCTGCAGTTCATTGATTATTATTCTGATATTAAACAGCTGATGTTTACATGTTTACTAATGCTTCAGTTTGTTGCTTATTGTGAAAAACAATTCATTGATTATTTAAATATAGATTGATATTTAGATTCTCAATGAACCAACTAAAGGAACAAAAGGGGAACGCACCAGTAATGTTCAAGTGTGTGCGTGTGTGTTTATCCGTTTTCATGAGTAGAGAAACTCACTAATGGATGTTACTTACCTGAACACACACACACACACACACACACACATACACACACACACACACACACACACACACACACACACACACACACACACACACACACGACATACATTATAGATCTTCCCTCCAGCTAATGGGCCAAAACAGTGTGTGTGTGTGTGTGTGTGTGTGTGTGTGTGTGTGTGTGTGTGTGTGTGTGTGTGTGTGTGTGTGTGTGTGTGTGTGTGTGTGTGTGTGTGTGTGTGTGTGTGTACTCACTATGTATAATGGATTAGCCCTGAGGGCAGCCCACTAGCACACACACACACACACTCTGAGTATTTTCACCCTCCATTTGCAGAAATTTAGCGGTGAGGAGTTCTTCCAGTGTTTCTGTCGCACTCTCCTTTCGCCTATCTGTCTGTCTGTCTGTATGTCTGTCTGTCTGCCTGTTAAATGGCGGTATGTTTCCATGCCCACCAGAATAACCCGGTCAGGTGTTTGCTGAAGGTGGTCTGACAGGGACCAGGATGCAGGGTTTGATCAGGTCTGCACTGAGAAAAAACAAACTCCTGATCAGTTCATCAATAGTCGTCTACCGATTCCCTGCATCATGTTTGTTCATACTAATAAGAGAGAAAATCTTCTTTTAAAACTTTATTTAGAAAGAACTGTTCAGAACCAGTAAACAAAGGTTCAGTTTAAACATATGTAACATGACTTGTAATGGATGAACTGTTATTATATAATTAATTATCTGAACCATCATCTTATTATATTTCCATTATATATTATTATACTGAACACAAAAGAATTTATTTATCATTTATTGTCATTCATTTCCAGACGTGTTGGACCTTTATGATCTTTTGATCTTCAGTCCTGGTCCTGGATCACTCTGCTGTACTGGGGTTCATGGAAACATGCTGATCTGAATGTTTGTTGTGTTCTGGGATCTAACCACACATTATTATTTACTTCTACTACACGAACACGTGATGAGTTAATGTGATCATTTTGACCTGATCAATAATCAATCATTATCTATAGAGGATTAGTGCCATATGAAACCATCATTGAAGAAGAATGTTCTGACTTTATGCTCAGGATTTTCAAAATAAATGTGGGAATTTGAAGGATTTTAATCCTCTGTAGATTTTAAAGCAGACTGCAGTGATTGATCGATGAATTGATTAGTGATTGCGGTAGTGATGATTGTTATCTCCCTCCATGCTTCTCCTTTACTAATTAATCTGATTGGACAGCTTAACGAGGTAAGACTCCTTCTTGGTTTTCAGATTCTTAACATCATGTGTTCTTGTCAACTAGCTGACAGACGCTAGCTAACGCCCAACACACACTGTCTTTTAGCTTAGATCCACTTAGCCACAGTTTGTGTTAGCATTACTCTGGAGTCACAGGGCTCATAAAGACACTTCCTGGTGCTCTGAAGGTTTTCCACAGTCTTCAAACACTCTTTAAATAATCCTCTGTAATGAATGTTTTATCCTCCCGATGGTTCGCAGACACTCCCAGAGCAGCAGGAAGGGTCGGCATGCGGTTCCAGCGTAGCATTCATGCTAACACAAACTGAGGTTCACCATGTCTGTGCACTTCCTTCAGTGAATGTCTGTCGCCGACTGGCAGACGAGCATGTTTGTTTGATGGAAAACATTTCATGAGCTGCTGCTTGGTTCCGTTTTTGGATCAATAATGTGAACGCACCCCGTACAAACTGAACAGCTCCTCATTGATGCTGAGCGACTGTCGATACCAGCGATCAATCATTTAATAAGATGGACTCATCCAGGTCTAACACACTGATGTCCTCATGAATATTGTGATGTGTGGTGTCAAAGACAGTGAGACAGAAACCAGGGAAACAGACGCAGACAGACAGATAGACAGTCTGTCTCGCATCTTCACTATTCACAACATATTTTAGAGAAATAAATTGACCAATCACAGAACATTTCCACTTCCATGGAGGTCTAAAGAGGCTTTAGATTCACCTTGTCTCTGCATTACATATTATTATCATAATAATAATAATAATTATAATTATTAAACAGTCATTAATTCGATTCTCCTGTCCTTTTTTTTCCCTCTCTTTGTTCCTCGCTGTCAATCAGGAGTGTGTGTGTGTGTGTGTGTGTGTGTGTGTGTGTGTGTGTGTTACTGTGTGTGTCAGTTTGATTGATGTCTGGGGCTGTTAGAGTGCTGTCACACACTCTCTGTCTGCAGGCATTTTAATAAGCGACCCAGGAAAGCTGCTGTGGATCAAAGTGTGTGTGAGCTCCTTCATCACACAGACAGACAGACAGACAGACAGACAGACAGACAGACAGACAGACAGACTGATCAATAGATAGATGAAAGCAGGAGAAATGCACCCTAACTGTACTTCCACCTCCAAGAGACGTTTTCTAAATATTGATATTAGATATTATATATCAGATATTAGATATCAGATATCAGATATTAGATATCAGATATCAGATGTTAGATATTAGATATCAGATATCAGATATTAGATATCAGATATTGATATTAGATATCAGATATCAGATATTGATATTAGATATTAGATGTTAGATATTAGATATCAGATATCAGATGTTAGATATCAGATGTTAGATATCAGATATCAGATATCAGATGTTAGATATTAGATATTGATATCAGATACTGGTATTAGATATTGAGCTTTGCAGTGACTCTGAGCAGAGACGAACCCACGGAGGTTCTCGGAGAGTAAACGTGTTGTTTCAGCACTGAACCGTCAGAGTTCTTTTACTCAGTTTGAACACAGTAAAAAAACAACTATCAGTGTTTAGACGCCTCCGGCTTCTCTCTGAGCCTCTTTCTCATAATTGGACTTAATCATCTGCTCTGACCATAAAACCAGCGCCTGTGTGTATGTGTTTGTGTGTGTGTGTGTGTGTGTGTGTGTGTGTGTGTGTGTGTGTGTGTGTGTGTTCAGGGAGAGAACAGGAAATCAAACACATCCTCTGCATAATTCATGAAGCCATTCACTGAGTTTCATCACTCCGGATCTGTTCTCCTTTTAAACAAACTCTGCTTTTGTGTCTCTTCAGAGTTTTTTCGAGGGACAGTCGGCTCCGTGGGATTCAGCCAAAAAGGACGAGAACCGCATGAAGAATCGCTACGGAAACATCATCGCCTGTACGTACTCTTGCAGCACTCACACTGTGAATGTAAAGACCTACTGGAGGCTGTCTGAAACCGGTCTGACAAGGTGCCTTGTTCTGGTAGAGACATAGCATCAGTCTGCAGTAGACACGGATCATTACTAATATATAATAAATAACACTGATGTGAGGCTGGGTGAACCAGAGATAATCAACGGAACCTACATGTTGCAGCATCATGACCCATTCGTCTTGACCTGGGATTTGGTGTTGACCTGAGACTTGGTGGTGCTGACCTGAGACTTGGTGCTGACCTGGGACTTGGTGCTGACCCGAGACTTGGTGCTGACCGGGGACTTGGTGCTGACCTGGGTCTTGGTGCTGACCTGATACTTGGTGCTGACCTGGGTCTTGGTGCTGACCTGATACTTGGTGCTGACCTGGGACTTGGTGCTGACCTGATACTTGGTGCTGACCTGGGATTGGTACTGACTTGATACTTGGTGCTGACCTGAGACTTGGTGCTGACCTGATACTTGGTGCTGACCTGATACTTGGTGCTGACCTGATACTTGGTGCTGACCTGGGATTGGTACTGACTTGATACTTGGTGCTGACCTGAGACTTGGTGCTGACCTGGGATTGGTACTGACTTGATACTTGGTACTGACTTGATACTTGGTGCTGACCTGATACTTGGTGCTGACCTGGGATTGGTACTGACTTGATACTTGGTGCTGACCTGAGACTTGGTGCTGACCTGGGATTGGTACTGACTTGATACTTGGTACTGACTTGATACTTGGTACTGACTTGATACTTGGTGCTGACCTGGGATTGGTACTGACTTGAGACTTGGTGCTGACCTGATACTTGGTGCTGACCTGAGACTTGGTGCTGACCTGGGACTTGGTACTGACCTATTATTATTCATAGATGAGCTGCATATTAATAAAAACGTATAGGAACCATCACTGCTTCAGTTTAACACGAGAGTCCGTCTGTCTGCCGTAGATTAACCAATCAGAGCTCCTTAAACCGACTTCCACCCAGGAACATGAATTATATAATTCGTATTATTATAATTACAGATGTTTGTTATATAAATAAAATGCATTGTTATTGTTATTGTTCCGGTTGTGCTCCCTTTAAAGCAGCAAGCCTTTCAGTGTGTCAGTAAACACACAGATGATGGGCCTGTTTGTTGTTGGTGTTGGTGTTGTTGTTGTTGTTTTTATCATCACAAAGCTTCAGGTCTCACAAACACAACATGTAACTGCTGAAGCTAATGTGCTAACATCCCACACACACACACACACTCTGTCCTGTGGTGGGGTAATTATGCTAATGAGGTATGATAGAGGCTGCTGTGAGCTACGGTGGCCTGCAGGGACACACTTCACACCAGCCAGTAACACACAGCTGTCTGTGTGACTAGTGTGTGTGTGTGTGTGTGTGTGTGTGTGTGTGTGTGTGTGTGTGTGTTTCAGATAACAGAGTGTGACAGCTGTGACAGCCAATCAGCTGCAGGCACCTCGGCTGCTGGGAGGGAGCTCACATGTCTATGTGTGTGTGTGTGTGTGTGTGTGTGTGTGTGTAGTATATTAATATACTATA